TGACTGCCACCGACGGCGACCCGGAGCCGCCTCTCGCAGAGGCACCCCGCTCTCCCAGGAGGAGCGATGCTGGGAGGGGCAGCAAGCTCCAGGGATTCCCCCATTACAGAAGGACGAGATTCGAGAGGGGGCGGCCAGAGCTCTCCTCAAACATCTGAACCCGGCAGGTGCAAAGGACAGTCACAAACTACGCTGACAAACAGACTCCAACTATGAGCAAATTATTCAGGAAGGTGGCTATATTGGCTTTTACCACTTCTGAAAATGCAGTTCACATTTTAAGAAGTCTTTTTCTTCTCCGCTAGCAAAATATTTTCTGCAATGGAGGCTTTTAAAAGTATTTGAAGCACAGCATCCTCTGGGGTTAAGCAGCTGTTGTCCCTCCTTCACCTGCAGCAGGGTTTGGATCCTTTGGATCCAGCAGCCAGGCTCCCCTTGCCCTGCCAGAACTCTGCTGGATTGGAAGGACTGGCAGCGGTTTCTCCGATCAAAAGGAGGTGGGTATTTGTTATTATCAGCTAAGTGCCAGCAATACCCAAAAGGAGAGCTCCTGCTTTACACAGATTCTTTAGCATGAACTACAGAAAGAATCTGAACTGGAAAGTGTATATGGACATACCCCTCTGCCATCCTTCCTCACATGCTAACCGTGCCACAGGACTCAAACTTGCCTTTGGCCTTTACATAGTAACATGAGACATAAATAAGCTGATCTAAACAAAAACCAACAAACCCTTCACACATCTTTGCGTTCAGTTTTCAACCACTCTTGATGCGTTGTTAGCCCAGGAAATCAGAGTTTTGTGGTGTAACCTAAGAATGAGCAGTAGCCCTGTGTCTGTGACCCGGGTCTGTCCCTCAGCTACATTACTCACTCCATTTCTTTCTCTGGAGCGTTCCCTTGTACAGCCCTGAATCTGTTTATACATCCCCATGCCAACAGCTTTGTTTTGCTGTGGTGTTACACTTTCCATTTCATCAGCTTCCTATGGACAAGCAGGAACTTCTCCCAGGTCTTGGCCATCCTACTAGCACATAATACTAAGGCCAAGTACTCTTCATAGGTGTACAATAGCAGATCTGTTCCCATACAGGAAATTTCCCATACACACGTACGCCTTCCATTATGCATTTCTTTTCATAACATCTTTACCTAAGTCATCTCCCTCCCACAGAGCACGTTGACATAAACCGCCAGCAAGCCTGGAAGTCAGCAGGACCAAGTACTGAACATGCATCCCTTCAAGGAGCTTCTCCCTTTCTCTTTTGGCTGGGTTACTAGCTTAAACAAGCTTCACCCTTTGGAGATACTTATCTCCCCTCCCTTATACCCAAATGTGGAAAAATGTGTTAACTGTGGTGCTTCAGAAAAGTTCTCTCTTCTCTTTTATTAAGAGGAAAAAAAAAACCAAAGACCTCATACTAATAGCTTAATGGCCTACCTACTGGAATTGAAAAATTTCTTCTGTCTCCAACATGCACTTTGTCTAGCAAATAGCATCAGCTCGACCCTCTACTTGAAGTGATTAGATCATAATAGCTAATATATCAAGTAGTCTACTTTGCTTCATCTACTCTCAACTCCTGCTTCAGTACTTTCATCAAAACCACAAAACACCCCTTTTTGAGCATGAAGATTAATTTCTCGCTCAATTTCTCACTCTCACAGCAAACGACAAGGTAGGTTCCTTAAGGCTAAAAGAACAATAGTTAATATAAGTGGAAGAAAAAGCTGAATAATTATTCATATACTAGTTTGTTTGGTTTTAAGTAAGCAGTAATTGAGATCTGTAGACAAACTGAAAGCAAGCTGTCTCAAAACTAAGTTCTGAAAAGCACAGAAGAGACCGGCACAGAATCTGGAACATTAAGCAGCACATTTAGAATGAAAGAGACACACAACTTAAAAAAGTAACCATACAAAATTGTACTATGCAACAACCATTACTATTCTTTTGTATAACCTGTAAATCAGACAACTTAGATCTGTCACAATTTGAGACCCACCAGTTCTTCAGATGCTGTCTTCATGCCCTTGCACAAGACAATAGGGTAAGATCTCTAATACAAACATCTCAGGCACCTATCAAATATCCATCATTAAAGCAATGCTCCTGAGAACTCAGGTATGTTATTCTGGACATCTTAGACAACAGACTGTTCAAAGCAACTTTCTACAATTCATTAAAATAGGTAAAGGGCTAAAAGCAGGACCATTTACAAAGACGCAAAGGAAATCTTAATTTATACACACTATCAGCCTGAAAACAGGCAAGAACACTCCTAAAAATCTTCAACTGAGAAAAAGAAAATAGTGATAACATCAAATGTCAGTAAGAAAATGAGAACAATGCTGCACAGAAAACAGAGGAAGACAGCTACAGCAATCGCAGGCTGCTGAGCTACATTTCAGACATCTGCAACCGAAGTGCTGCAAAAGTTGGGACTAATTTCTCAGTTATTAGGGCACTTAAGCTAAACAGACATCAGTTCAATAGCAGACTACATCCATTTTGGACCTTTTGTGGGACTGTAAGAAGGAAAACATTTGGCATGAAAATACATTATTTAAGTTCAATGAGACTTATTTTTAATATGTATGCATAGCCCAACTCTTGGGGCTCATCTCGCTGTGAGTGGTAAAGAGAAAGACTGCATGTTCACAAACAATTCCTTAAACTATTTAAAGCCAGAACAATTTTGTTAAAAAGTTAAAATGGATAGAAGTTCCCTTCCAGCCTGTAAGCGAGGATTATACTATAGATATGGACAAGAGTGAATAGGTAAAATCAGTGTAAACATGTATACATATGCACCATTCTGTGGGCCTGTACATTGCAGCAAGAAACCCAGCAAGAAAAAAGCACCTGGCTGACTCAGAGCTGTGAGCATGGAAGATCAAACCAGTGTTAGCTCTATACGGAGTGGCAGCAGCATACTGTCAGGGCAGCAGTCAGGAGAATGGGACAGTGACTTTTCTTTAAGCAGAAGAGCAACGTCCTTACTGCTCTCCAGAAGAGGAGGGGTCTGACTGACAAAAAAAATGAAGGTGTTATCCAAAGGCTGACACCTACACCTGTGTTCACTCTCTCCAGGCCCTTACAAGAACAGGTGCCCGATGACACGCAGGCCAGCAGAATACATTACACAAATCAGGTGTGTTGCTTTTGTCAGCGACAGTAACTTTTATTGTCTTTACAATACAAGATAATACAAACTATTAGAAAGTAATTTTGTTTGGTAAAATATTTCGTATATTGAAAATATAATTGCATCTTCAGATTAAACAAGATTACAAGCATACCAAATAATTTACAAAATTAAACATTTATCCTGATCAAAGAAGTATAAAAGCCAACAGTTCCAGAACCATGCTCCTGGCACGTAATGTTTTGTAAGTAAAGACTTCATTCTTTTGTGCACTAATCCTACTCCTTCCCCTGAGCACGTGGAACAGAAAAGGTCAGTTATATAGTCGGTAAAGGCTTGGGGGAGGGGAAAGACTAAGAATAACGGCAATTCCTCTTGCAACCCCACTCCTCCACTTATGTTGGAATGTGTACTATGTTAGAAAGCCATTTTAACTTCACTTTCCCACTATTGCCAAAATTGAACATAAACAGTTTTATATTGTGTTTAAAAAACCTAAGTTCAGATAACAGCCCAATTTTACAATTTTGTGCTTTTATACACATGCAGTTTTCCTCTCCCAGGAAGATAAAATATAACTGTATTAGTTTCCTTTTATCATTTGAATTACTCCTTTATAAGCACTTTCAGATGAGACATAATTTCAGCAGCAGATGACCAAACAAGAACAGAACACTCTACAGGACTGAGATTTTGGGCCAGCTGAGAAATCTTTTTCTCCAAGGTATACCCCTGCCTAGGCATAGCAATATCATCCTTCTTCAAAAACATTACTGGACATAAGTCATTCCCACCATCACCTATATATACAATCCGTGTGTAACTTACTCCTCGCTCCAACTGTTTATCTAGAAATTCTTTTAAAACTCTCCTTTTGCAAAGGTTTTTAGGGCACTTTGCACAATGGTGAGCATGGAAGTTCTGTACAGTAAGATAGCCAGTACTGCTGAATGCTGCAGGGTTTGTAAACACTTCATCAAACACCTTATGGAAGTCAGCAGCTTTCAAAATCCAGTCAATAAATACTGTATTAGAATCTGAAACAATTATGCAGTCAAACAACTCTTTGTTCTCGCCAATAAAACCCAGAAGATCTACCATTCCCGCAGTGAAAGGAATTGTTGTCATAGTTCTTCTCATCTCATCTTCTGTGATGCCATTGTCTCCCAAGTAGACAAAGACTCTGCCCATATATTCTGTCCAGTGTCCTGGTCGGTAGGATTTTCTTAATTCATTAGGAAGTTTTTTCTCAGGAGCACATTTCACAATCCAGGTATCACTATTTTCATCTACGATTGTATGGTCAAAATCAAAAACCAACAGAAATTTCATAGCTGTCAGAAAATAGTTTCCAAAACAAACAAAAAAAAGAGAATTATTTATATAAACAAAAGTACTGAATTCCTACCCTCATCTTGTGCTCAGAAGAGAAAAATTCTGCAAGAAAATGAAGCATTAGGACAAATATCTAAACAAAGTAAACTATTTATGGCCACTACAGCTATGGGAAGTTGTGCAGAAGCTAAAAAGCAGTCTGTAAAGGTCAAAGTTCTAGTTCAGTATCAAACCTCTGTTTAAAATAGACAATGTGAAAGTATCTAAACTCATGCTGCATAGTTACTAATACTTGCTAGCACAGTGTCAATCTTCCAGTACTCATGCACCATCAATGTGACCGACAGTTCTAAATTTCTCCATTATCGCTTGCCAGCGCAACCAAACTGGGATTCTCCTGGCAAAACACCTTAAGAGATATTTTGAAAGGAAACTACTACTGAACAGAAGGAGCCAGACTTTTTAACAAGGACACACCAAATCAAAGCAGCCAACAAAAAGAAATACCGCCATTTGTGGATCTGGGGAAAAAAAAAAACAACCACCGGTCTGCTTGCTGTAGTCTTGCACCTTCAGTCCCTGCAGCCCACCTCTGGGCTACGAAATCCCTGGGAGCAGGAGACACCTCATCTGGTACCGAGAGCCGTTCCCTCACAGGCAAGTTCTCTCACACCCGCACCACGAGCACCGCCGCTTCCTCAGCCCCAGGCGCCTCTCAGGCCAGCTCCCTGGCGCCCGCAGCCAGCAGGCCGC